TCTCAAAAACATCAACAAACAAACAAACAAAGAGATGGAAAAGAAGGGTGCAAGATGTACTAAGCATTCCAAGTCAGAAAACACAACATCCATGATACTTTCAGACAAATAGGTTTTACCAACACTACCAAATGGAGATCCAGACAAATCAGTTTGTACATAATTTTTATTTAGTGATTTTAGGACAAGAGGCAGCACTGCACCAATAGGGTTTGCTACTATCAAGAAAACCTGAATAATTGGAACAGATAAAATCATTCATGAAGACATGGATGTGCACAAATGGGAAGAACTGGAATGTAGCTTCCTAATATAACTTACAGTCTTAGAAGTTAAAGCAGAAAGGAAAAGAAAGATCTGCATGTATCAGTCAATTGGCAGCATTCACATGTGCTGTCAGTGTGGGCGTCTTCCCTAAATACACAAACAACCTAAAATGCAGAAAACTGAGAAATTTTTAGAGCCAAAAAAGCACTTTTGTTGTGTGAGAGCCTCACAAAAGCCCACTCCAGCATACGATTCCGCTCACTGAAATGCAACAAAGATGACTTCATATTGCAAGAGGTGCAGAGAAAACTACAGGATAATGAAAGAGACAGAGAGCCCTTTTTAAGGGACTGGACAAAGAACCCATCTTGCTTAGCTGAGCAAAACAAGGCTAAGAGGGAATGTGATTTCAGATGAGCATCTCGAGTACATAACCAAAGGGAAAATAGTACTCCTTAGACTACAGGACATCTGCCTAACTACAGAACAGCAAAAAACCATTCTAAACCACAGCACATTCGTTTGGAAAGCTTCTATCCAACAGAAGGAGAGTTCTGGAAATTTTCAAACTCTGGTTATGTGGAAAGGGGAGAAAAGCTTATCTGGCTTTGATATTAACCTTGACCAGGTTATAAACCTTTGTTTTACTGTATGATGTTTCAAGTTGGTTCACAGTATAGAAAGAAGCAATATAGACATGGAAGTAAATGGACACAGGATTAGTTAAGTTTTTTTATGTCACAGACAGCTCACATCCAATGTTTTACCTAATATTTTCATTACTGCTGTACCAGAAATCAGGTTTGTAAGATACCTCAAGTAAGTGGCCAGACTGGAAAACTACAGTACTGGGCTGTATTAATACTGGAAACTATCACGAGGGAGAGGGGTTACTTGGAATATTCCTCCTGACACCCTTCAATAAATTAGTAGCCAAGGAGTAACAATGCACTTAGAAAATTTCTATGGATGACACCAGACTGGAACTATCACCATTACAAAGAGGACTGGGTAGTTATCCAGGAGAGTTCATGGGTTTTGTGAGCTGGAATGCCAGAAAATGGAATTCAATACCACAACATGTGAAATCATGCGTTTAGGGACCAGTAACCTTTTCTGTAAGCTGAGAACTCATCACGTGGAAGCAACATAGGAGGAATGAACAGAGTTGTGAGGCATGGAAATCATCCTCTAAGGATGCTGATGTTTATATGAGCACAAGGAGAGCTCAATATGTTCAGGGAAGAAAAAATGAGAAATTCCAGTTGGCTCAGGAAGCCTCTGAGCTGAAATTAGAGAGGCTAGAGCAGTGCTGGGGGAAGTATCATTGCTGAAGAGGTGAATATCATATTCAGTATCAGGTGAATCTTTGGTCTTAAGAAGTACAGTTGAACAGATTCATGTCAAAAAATTGCTGGCCTCCTCACAAAACTTAAAGATGGTCAAGTTTATCCAACTGCCCTGTAAAATACATACTCCATTCCCTATTTCATTTCCCACAACAATTCCAGCCCAAGCTAAAAAAATGTTATTAGCACAAGTTATGACATTGCACTGCACACAGCTCAAATTTAATGCATCAGAAATTAAAAGTTTTCTCACTGCCTGATACACAAGACATGAAGAAGCACTCTTCCAAATGGAGCAGCTGGGAAAAGGAATTTAAGCTGTTCTTAAACTGCACTAGTAAGTTTCTGGAAAGAACAGGAAAGCAAATAGCTGTATTCCCACATCTAGAAGTTTGTCTTGCTGTACCCAGATAAAGCATCTGCTTACACTACACTTACAGACCAGACAGCTACCTTATTTTAGAGTTTTGTCAGCCACCTATGTAACCAGAAGAACTTTTATTCCTTTCTTTCAACTCACTAGCCATGGATAAAGGGTGACAGCTCTAAGTGGTATTAAGCTGCTCTCCAATGCCTTGCTACTACCTCCTTTAGTTGAGGGCTAAACTAACTGCCCAGTCCAGCACTGTAAGGAATTCTCTGGCTCAGAAAAACAAAGACTGAATGCCTTTTTTCTCCTTTATAGGTGAAAAATTGACATATTAGGATCATCTGGAACTTTATTTAACAAACATTCTATCACACGGGGCATTTCTGATGCCTTCAGTCAATTTGTCCTTCCAAGTCAATTCCTGGCACGGTACAGTTTGGAAATCTGATCTTTACTAAAAAGCTCAAGTTTGTCAAAGGTTTTGGGGTAAGCTCTGTAGGCATTTCAAAACTAGGCAACTATGACACAGCTGTCTGCAGTTATTGGGGGCTGCACTTAATGACCTGGCCTGGCCATCCCAGTCCTGCACTGAAGCAATAAGATAGACTGGAAAACACTGAGACTTTCTCTCTTAGTTCCATTAAATTTGTCAGGCATTCAGACTTCCAAAGGAAAAATGCAATGGCATCACAATATCTCTATATACAGGATGTCCCTGAGTTGTACTGATTTGACTAAATCTCTACTTTTACATCAGTGTTTACATTTGTAAATGTCTTGTATATGCAATGTTTTAAAGCGGCTCTGTTAATTATTCTACTTTACTCCAACACGTTGGCATCCCACAGAATAAAAGCACCTCAATAAGCAGCACATCTCTGCTTTTAACTGTTCTCTGAATGAGAAATGCTACAAGAAAGACCCGGCGGCCACCACCAGTCCTGGAACGGCAAGTTCATCTGTTCAGCCCCGTCTCCGGGAAGAAACACTGGAGGAAGCCTTTCACTTGCAAAACTTCCCGGGGCTGCGTCCACAGCCACGAGCCACTTAAAACAACAAAACCACCATCCACACTTTCCACCACGGCCGGCGCTCAGCAGTGCA